GGAGCGAGATGGAGGAGGAGGTGGAGAAGGAAGGGAAGGGGCAGGAACGAAGAGGAGGAGGAGCGAGGAGGCGGGGGCGAAGGAGGGAGAGGAGGAGGAGGAGGAGGAGGAGGAGGAGGGAGGAGGAGGAGGAGGAGGAGGAGGAGGAGGAGGAGGAGGAGGAGGAGGACGTCCTTTTTGGACGTCGTTTTGGGTGGGTTGTCCTCTCCGTTGGTATCTGCCTGGGCCCTAGCTCGCGACTCGAAGTCCTTCGCCGCCGCCGTGGCCATCAGCTGCGCCTGGTAGGCCTCCTCCAGCGCGGCGTCGTCGCCCGAGGTCGTGGCCCGCTGCCCAAGCTGCTGAGGCGGCAGCGCGGGCACGGCCGCCGCCGCAAGCGCTTTCGCCGCCGCCGCAGATGCCGCGGCCGCCGCAGGCGCCTGGCCAGTAGGCTGCGCGCGTGCAGCTGCATCGCAACGCGGCAGCATGTCAGCTGACCTGCTTCAGCCCCCTGCCGGGCCCATTCCTGGGCCCCTGCGGCCAGGACCTTTGCGCCAGTTCCCAGCGCGTGGCTGGCCGCGCTGCGCGGCCGAGCTGCTGCCCCTCCATCCGTGAAGCTGCTGCATTTGTTTACGTAAGACGGCTGTGCGCGGCCCAAGGCGAGAGCCACATTTTGAAAATGGCCAGCGCTCCATCCGTGCAACTGCTGCAACCGTAAGTTTCAAGATCGTGAACGGTGAGGCAGTCTCAGGCGAAGCGCCCGGCCTGCCCTTTCGACCGGCCTCGGGGTGCGACAGGGATGAGATGCTTGTGAGGAAAAGGAATAGAGGAGGAGCAGGAGGAGCAGGAGAAGGGGGGTAGAGGAGAAGGAGGAGCGGGCGGAGAGGCGGGGGGGACAAGCTAGTTGCGCTCGCACCTTCTGATATCCGATCCCTCCCTCTCATCCCTTCCCATGGTGCTAATTTGCCTCCATCCGCTGACGCGTGTCATAGCCGACCTGCGACTCACACAGACAGACCATTTTCTGTTATCCGCAACCGGAAAAAGGGGAGCTCCGTGTACAGGAGAAGGAAGAGGAGGAGGTGGCGGGTGAGCAGGAGGATGAGCGGGAGGAGAAGGGTGAGGACGAGTAGCAGCAGAAGGAACACCAGGGGAAGGCGGAGGAGGCGAAAACCACACACAGTGAGTGTGTGTGTGTGTGGCCATTCGCCAGCGCAGTCACTCTGCCTAGCCGCCGACGCAGAAGTGTGTGTGTGTGTGTGTGTGTGTGTGTGTGCGTTTGTTTCCACAGTGTGTGCTTATTTCCACCGTGTGTTGTTTCCACATTGTGCGTGTCTTTGTCCACGTGCGTGTGTGTGTCTGTGTGTATGTGTGTGTCTGTGTGTGTGTGTGTGTGTGTCTGTCTGTGTGTGTGTGTGGGTGCGTGTGTGCGTGCGTGCGTGCGTGTGCGTGCGTGTGTGTGTGCGTGTTTTTCCACTGTGTGTTTGTCCACAGACGAGGTGGACCACAGTGAAGCAGGACTCGGGCCCAGAAGAGTGGCCCGCGCTCGGGCGAGAGAGCGCCGCTCGGAAAACGACGGGGGCAGCGCGCCGATCCGAAACAATGAGGCCCACGCTGCAGCGGGAGCAGCCGTCTCGAAACACCGGAAAACAGCCGACTGTAAAACCATACAGTGGAGATCCTCCTCCTCCTCCTCCTCCTCCTCCTCCTCCTCCTCCTCCTCTTCCTCCTCCTCCTCCTCCTCCTCCTCCCTCCTCCCCCTCTTCGTCCTCCTCCTCCTCCTCCCCCTCCTCCTCCTCCTCCCCCTCCTCCTCCTCCGGCACGGCGAGCGAGGGCACGGTGGGACCGCGCCCGTGGCCACGACGGGACGAGACCCCGAGGAGCAGGATTCGGGGGCGGCCAAGAGGGGGGTGATGACTAGGGGGGTGGATATCGTGGCGGGGGCCATGATATCTCCCCAGATTTCAGGGCGCCTCTTCTTGTGTCAATGCGTCCCTGGCCCCCCCTGGGCCGCGCACGTGCCGCCGGCCATGATGTGCGCCCCCCCTCTTGGACGCCCCCCTCTTGGCCGCCCCCGACATAACAATCATCAGTGTTTGCAATCCTCTGTGGAAATACACAGCAAGCGGGGGGGGGGCGGGGAGATCTCCAGGACAACTTCAAGGGAGGAGGGAGAGTAGTATTCGTACGGTTTGACTGTGGAGGGGAGGGGGATGGCGGTAGCCATGGCTCCAGCACCAAGCGCACTCCTGCTTTCAAAAGAGCGACGAACCTCAGGCGTCGGCTTCGGGCACGTCTGATGACCGATGGACATTTCCGAGTTGCTCAGGGACGGGGGAGGAGGCGGGGAGGGGGAGATGGGGAGGGGGAGACGTTCATGACCCTTATGGGACCCCAAACGACTTCCGCGGAGGAGGAGGAGGCAAGTTGGGGAAGAGGACCAGAATGCCAAGCCCACGGTTGCTAATTGGGCAACTGTGCCGCGGTACGCGATTCCGTCTCAGGTCAGTTGTTCGTGAACTGTTGCAGATATCTTTCTTCATGGGGGGAGCGAGTCTCACTGTAAGTTCGAGTGCCCAATGGGCTTGCCATTTTCCTATTCTGGCGAGAGTACCATTGTAAACAGGGTGCGTCTCCCTCCATCCTTGTATCGAGGCCGTTAGACACCATTGAAGGTTGTGCGAGCTCATCACCTCCTCCTCCTCCCACCCCCGCCCCCTCTGCGCGCGCGGGTGGGCGGGGAAGGTGCTGAGCGCCGTTACGTGCGTTGCTACTTCGACACCCATGGGAAACACAAACACTCGAGATCGTTTGGGAGCGGTGTCTCCGGACAGTGTGCGGAGGATGAGGAGAGGTCAGCGGACGTGGAGGATGAGCAGGGCAATAGTTGTTGCTGCACTTCCTGCAGAGCAAAGAGAGGTCCTCCCTTTCCTCCCTCTCATCCTCTCCCTCCTCCTCCTTCCCCTCCATGGGAGGTCAAGGAGGGAAAGGAGGGCAAGGACGAATTGCATGTGGTTGCGGAGT